TCTGTCAATTTCCTTTATGATCATTTTCCAAAGTCATTATCATATAAAGAAGGAACTAGAGAGTACACAGCAGAAAAACAAAACAAAAAAATTAAAGGACAGTTAACATTGCGTTGGCATTTATTTAATAAATGTCTTATGCTATTTTTCTGGGTTTTGTTATATTTGCACTAGTCAGGTTTTTTGAATTTCCAATCTGTTGTATTTTTTTCTCTTTCAAAATAAGTATTAATTTTCATGCACAGTTTTAATTTTTTAATAAAGGGTGCAAATTCAGAGTCTGCCTGTAAAACCTGGTCCAATCTTACTTAATCACTTCAGATTATTCACTTGTCTGTCTCCCTACTTCAATGGGAGCCCCATGTGTAAAAGAATCACATCTTCCCTATTCCCTTCTGCATTGCACTGTCCACACTTGAGCTCAAACTTCAGACTTCCAGAGATATAATATTTTCCATCTCTTAATGTGATTGTAAGGCCTCTTGTTACATCATAATCCATATCGAGTAGCTCCCTCAAGCTCTATTCACATGAAATGTCAAGATTTGACATAAAATTCTAAAATTCAATTGGCTATTGGGATGGCTCATATGTGTGCTTGCTAAAAATGATGAGCTGGGGAGAGGTTGCTGTAGGATTTTCCAAGCATCTGCCACTTGAGGTTGTGTGGTAGAGCTGGAAATGTCCCACGCACACTGAGACATAACTTCAAATATGTTTCTTTGGCTGCGTATCCCTGGGAAACAATGAGAGCCGACAGCATTGTGTGGAGTAATTAGGAACAGAGTGACTCGTTGGGAGATGGTCCTCAGGAAATTGTTGCAAACTGGAAGGGACACCCAAAGATCTTTGCTCTGAGCCTCCCTGTCTAGTGAGAGGCGACAGATGACAGCATTACACTAACTTCTCTGAAGGGTAAAAGATGTTACACAGAACTTATCCCTGGACACCCACCATTAATCTTTATAATGATATTCCAAATAAGGTACAAAGAATGAACACATTTTATAGACAGGGAAAGTTGGATACACAGGTTTTTGTTCAAGGTCAGAAGCCTGAAAAATACAAATGTTGTTTTAAATACTTTTTTTGCCATGATTTCTTCACAATCCTATTCTCTGCCTGCTATCAGGAAGTGTTCTTTTTCTACCAAATAGTTTTTCTAGCAGAAATAAATACTTTATAAATCCATTCCTTTTGAAACTTGCCTTCAAGTAGAGTCAATCGTATTTTTAGAACATTTATGCGTTCCTACTCTAAAAAAAAAATCACTTAAAGTTCTACTTATAAAGATCATATTTCTTCTTTACTGCCAAAAAGATCACAAATGCCTACAAGGCAGAAAACTTCCTGTTGAACAAGGAAGATTAGATGAGGCTTTCAAGAAAAGATTAATGTGTCTATTGAAATACAGTTGGTATTGCTTAAGCTGATGATTTTCTCAGCAACCATTGCAATGAAAGCAATATGACTTAATGTCACCAGCTTTAATGAGTGGACATTTTGGTACTATCAAAATGCATTAGGCACAGTTGTAAATAAAGTAACCATTAAGTATAACAATAAGAACCAAATGGTCATCAATAAAATAACAGAAATGGAGACTATGAACACTTGAGAGTGCTGCTACATTTTAAAAAGTCAAATTCTCAAATAAAATCATCAGAGCTTCTTTAAATTGCTGATATGGGCATAACTTACCCATCTAATTGCAAAGATTTCATAGACCAAACCGCATAAACAGAGGAGCACTTGTTCTTATTTAAGAGGGTCCGCAGACCACAAATTGCTCTGTAGTACAATGAATGTAGATAAGCCTAAAACTGCTTTATTTAGTCTTCACACACACACACACACACATCAAAATAGATGACCTTTGCATGTTTAAACATTTTAGACCCAATTTTGTTTTCAGGGAGCTCTAGCTTACAATATGATTATGATTACATAGATTTCTAAAACCTCAAAATATCTCTGGTTATCTCTTGGAATTTTCCTTCTTCCCTGTTTTTTCATGTATTTAACCAGTACTTAGATAATCACAAAGGGTCTGAAATCTCTTTCTTGCTTCTCAGGCTCTCCATTTTATAAATCATTCAAGTTTCTTAAATTAAAATACCACCATGTCCTTAAAACTCTCCCACTCTCCCATTACCTCCACCAGCACTATCCCCAATAGAATTGATTTCTCTTGACAAATGGATTTTGGCTGATGGCCCCCAACTTCCCACTGAAATGCCGACAGATACCTGAACATTTGAATGCACATAAACAGAAACACTCACAAAAACACCCCAAACTCATTTTGACTGGCAAACTACTCTCAGAATCTGAGCAGTCTTTTCATAAAATTTAAGACAGATGGTACCAAGTTAAGGAAATCTCTCACAGGCTGCTGGCTCATGATGCCCCTTTGTAAGCCAGAGTAGCCCCATCTACCTGAGAGTGGAAAGAAACTGTGCTGCTTATGCATTTGCTGGCTTTTCGCTCATTTGTTCATAAAGAGATCTGTAATATAACAAGACAGACAGAATTCTGGGTGGGGCTGAGAAGGCAGGCTGGCTTGGTGCTTTAGCTCCTCATGAGAGAAAAACAAAATAAACACCAGGATGACATTTCTCCTTTCACGGGAGTGTAGGTAGAATGATAATTCGTCAGAAGGATAGACTTTCAGAAACCAGTAGAGTAGAAGGGACAGAGCCAGAGAGAAACCACTGAAGGTCACAGAGAAGGGCGGTGCAAACTTTTTGAAGATAAAGAGGAAGGCTTCCAGTCATAATCCCATCGATGGAGGGGAAGAGGAGAAATGTGAGAAACCAGTTTCCCAAAACAATGGTTCTGTCGCGTTCCCTAACCAAGAGAGAGAATCATGTACGGGCCAAACAATAGAAACTTATCACAACATCATCAGTGAGAGGCAAGGATCCGTGGCCTCTGTGTAAAGAGCAGAAGTCACTGGGCTAAAGAGGAGCAACAGGAAGCATGATAATGTCATTGGGTCATACAGACAACAACCTGATATAATCAGGGAGTAAAGTGGGAAGGTCAGTTCAAAAAATTAAAATATCAAAATTCCCATAGAAATATTTAATGGTGAAAATGGATACTGAAACAGTGAATCACTGGGGGTGGTTTGTATGTCAGTTGGGAGCTGGGGAGAAGGATTATGAGTATGAAATCATTGAAGAGATGTTGACAGATGTGGAGGGGGAGAAAACACCCAACACCAAGATACAGCCCCCAGAGGAAGCCAAAACAACTGAACAGAGGAAGAAGCAATTACATATTTGCGGGAAAATTTCTAGCAAGTAAAACATGTCCAAAGATGGTAGATAAAAGGCGATCAGAACATTTCAGGCAAGACACAGAAAGAATAAGACATCTAGACATTTCATGTGGGGAAATTTTAATTATAATAATAGAGAAAAATCCTGCACTCAAACATGCAGAGTAGAAAAGACACAGAAAGATGTGTAAAAGGGACAACATCGAGCTGCCTCAGATTTTCCAATAACATTAAATACCAGAACGTACTTAAAAACCATCCACAACACTGTGATGAGAGAGAAGTTTGTGATCCATACATTTTCATACCCTCCAATTTTTCATTGGTATGTAAAGTCAAAAGAAAAGAATTCTAAAATAATGCAAAGTCTCAGAAAAAGAAACCACCCACATGGCTACCCAGGGGAAAAAGAGCTGAAGACATTCTTAGCTAACATTGAAGTGAGTTAAAACCAAGAGCTCAATAATAGGCAAAGAATTTTAGAAAACAGATGACAGTTAACACAGAAAGTGGTAAAAGGATAATATTGAATCTCTATGGTAAATAACACCAACCAAAGGAAACCAAGCATCAAATACAATTTTGAGAGACAACAGAAAAGTAATCATTGATAGCAATAAATGTTATCCAAATTAATATGTTAACATAATTGGATGATAGTAGGCAGCAAAGTATGCTAAATTCTGTTTCATACAAAAGGCAGAAAAATACTTTTTTATTTGCTTTAATAATCATAGAAATAAAGTCTAAACAGAGGCATGGATACATGGAACTGGCAGCAATCAGAGAAGTATTAAGTAAAATTAAAGATGTAAAACAATCAAATTATGCTAAAAATAAAGGGAAATGATTAAAATTATTAAAGGTCAGGGAGCCTTTTCGAGGTAAAATATAAGAAATGTGCCCAACTGGCATGGCTCAGTGGTTAAGCATTGACCTATGAACCAGGAGATCAGGATTCGATTCCCAGTCAGGGCACCTGCCTGGGTTGCAGGCTCAATCCCCAGTGTGGGGCATGCAGAGGGCAGCCAATCAATGATTCTCTTTCATCATTGATGTTTCTATCTCTCTCTCTCCTTTCCTCTCTAAAATAAATAAAAATATATTAAAAAACTTTTACCTAGCTACTAAATAGGCACTGGTTTTGTGAACCAGGAGATCAGGATTCGATTCCCAGTCAGGGCACCTGCCTGGGTTGCAGGCTCAATCCCCAGTGTGGGGCATGCAGAGGGCAGCCAATCAATGATTCTCTTTCATCATTGATGTTTCTATCTCTCTCTCTCCTTTCCTCTCTAAAATAAATAAAAATATATTAAAATAAAAAAAAGAAATGAGTAAATGTCACATCTGAGGTCACAGCGGCAAGCATTTGCTGATCGCCAGGCCTATTGTCAATACTTACAGGTACTGATGCATTTAGTCTTCACGGGAAACCTCTCAGACAGAGCTACTTTTGTTCCCATTTTACAGATGAGGAAACTAAGATATAGAGGGAATAATTGCCTGAAATCTAATAAATGTTGCAGAAAGTTAAAATTAAAAATGAACAAAGATACACAAATGTCAAACAGAAATATTGGCGAGATGGCAATACTGATTTCAAAAAGATCCAAGCATTGTCACACAAACAAAGCCACCTTCAAATGTTAAGGTAAACAATCATCAACATTTTTCCACTAGTTATCAAAATGTTGTTAGAAAAACTACAAAAGACATGGAGGCTACTGTTGCGGGAAAAGGCTTTAATACACCTCTCTTTGCCTTTGACAAGTCAAATAGTCAAGAAATAAATGTCAGAAACAGTTTAATGAATGTAAGGCAAACTATTACATCTAACCAAACCCTAGCTTTTCCTTTCAAATATCATATTTTTCTTTAGGATATTTTGAAAGTGGCAGGGGGGAGGGGGGGAGGCAACTTCCGGGCATTGTTTTTGGGGATTTTTATAGATAATCATATGTATACACACAAAAATATTTAAAATGAAATAAATGCTATACAATTTGACTTTGCTTAGAGGGGTATGAGTGGATTTTAATAGTATTCTTTGTATTTTAACATTCTCTAAATATTTAATATATTCATTAAAAGACTTCTTTAATCAGTAAATTTACCCACCTAATATTCATGCATCCAAAAACTGCTGATTGAACACTAGAGTAAGTGTCTAAATTGGGCTACTAAGTGGAGACTGGCCCAGAGGGAAAATATTCATAAGCAAAGGAAAAGAATTCAAGTTCCTTTATTGTCAGTAAAGGATTCATGAACTTGACTCTCTGAACACAGCTGTACAAACCAGGGGGCTGAGTGGAATACGCTTTATTGGAAGGCAAACATCCCTAATCACCAATTCCCAAGAAGAGAGCCCAGTGCAATCGCCACTGCCTGAGTGGGGTGAGAATTTCGTCAGGTGCTTTGAGAAGCTCCATTTGCCATTCCCATGGGATTTTTTGGTGCCCTCTTGGCCTCTCCCGGCTGCTCTGTAGACTCTGGCTGTGTGCCTATCTGGTGAAAGTAACTGTCAACAGCTCCACAATCCCCTGAGTGCTTACTCTGAAAGGTATAATAAAGGGGATAATAAAAGGCATCTTCGGGGCAGTTTCTGAGGTCCACATTACCCTGGCAGGCCCAGACTGAAGGCCGTTAGGAAATCTGCTCCTCCTAAAACTAGATGCTGGTAATGCCACAGAGAAAAAAAAAATGCACATACCCCTGCCCTCCTGGAATTCGTATTTCAGAAGAGAAACAGACATTGGATAAGTAATTACCATTGTGATGAATGAAACCAAAAAATAGGGACTGGATGCCATGAAAATCTAGGTTTCCTTTCTCTGCTTTCCCCTTGTACAGTGCTTATTAACCCAATATGGCGCTTGTTACCTTCTGTTTTGTTCTGGCCTTGCTGTGAGAACATCTGTTTTTCCGAATAGTCAGTTTCTGCAGGCATCTGCATTGTACCTGCCTCAAATTAAATGTTCAGTAATGTCTTGCCTAAATGAATAAAGGGAAGGCATTAGGTCTCCCTGTATACTTTTCTTTATCAATATTTTCTGTTTAGACACAATTGCAGGACACCAGGAACCATGTTTATTGAATTAGCTTGCATCTTGTACCAGATAATTATTTATTTATTTATTTATTTTGCTTATTACTACCTAACCTCGAGGGATGATGAAGTGAGAGTGTTTTGATACAAAAAGAGTAAAGTTAACCTCATATTCACCTTCAAAACTTTGTGCTACTTGTCAGCGACAGAGTTCAATACACCAAAAAGATTAAAGTATTTACAGCTTTTGTGGTAACAAGTTTGGGAGAAAAGAATCCATGACAACTACTTTGGGATCTGAAAGGGAGGGGGTGGCTGCACTGGGGGAAGGCTATGCCCTTGTCAGTGTGAAGGAACATATTCCCTTTCCTTGAGTGTGACTTAAAGACCCAGCGAACCTTTCCACTCTCCCGTATACAGTAATAAGTTGGGGTTCCTCCCATCAGGCAGCATGGACAAAAGGAAGTACATGCTCGCAGGCTCACTAGCGCCAGCTCTAGTGCCCAGTACAGTGCTGGCATCAGAGCAAGAGCTAGTGCTGGCTGGAGAGCCTGAGCCCGCTCTTGAACCATCTCCAGAGCGAGAGCCAGGCCCGGGGACCCACTCCCACAGCAACTGCAGAGCTGGAACCGGCTCTGTCGCCAACTCTGGAGCTAGAGCCGGCTCCAGCGCCAGAGCCTTCCTGGCCTTCGCCTGTGGCTGCAGAGAAAGGACTCAGCGAGGAGAGGCCTCACCTCCTGGCGTTTCCTCCCGACCTGGTGGCGGAGCAGTTCACCCTGATGGACGCGGAGCTGTTCAAGAAGGTGGTGCCCTACCCCTGCCTGGGCTCCATCTGGTCCCAGCGGAACAAGAAGGGCAAGGAGCACCTGGCTCCCACTGTCCGGGCCACCGTCAGCCAGGTCAACAGTGTGGCCATCTGCGTCATCACCACCTGCCTCAGGGACCGGAGCGCGACGGCCCGGGCCCGGGCCAGGGTGGTGGAGCACCGGATCGAGGTGGCCAGGGAGTGCCGGGTCCTCAAGAACTTCTCGTCCCTCTACGCCATCCTCTCCGCGCTGCAGAGCACCTCCATCCATCGGCTGGGGAAGACGTGGGAGGAAGTGTCCAGGGACAGCGCGCGGGTCTTCCAGAAGCTGTCAGAGATCTTCTCGGATGAGAACAGCTACTCGCTGAGCAGAGATGCTCGTCAAGGAGGGGACCTCCAAGTTAGCCACCCTGGAGATGAACCCCGAGAGAGCCCAGAAGCGGCCGAAGGAGACGGGTGTCATCCAGGGCACCATCCCCTCCCTGGGCACGTTTCTCACGGACCGGGTGGTGCTGGACACCGTGACGAAGGACTACCTGTATGGGAGATGGATCAACTTCGAGAAGAGGAGGAAGGAATCCGAAGTGATCGCCCAGATCAAGCTGCTGCAGTCCGCTTGCAACAAGCCCGAGGAGCAGTTCGGGGCCTGGTTCCGGGCCATGGCGCGGCTCAGTGAGGCCGAGAGCTACAACCGATCGTGTGAGCTGGAGCCCCCCTCCGAGTCGGCCAGCAACACTCTGAGGCCAAGAAGAGCACGGCCATCGTCAGGCGCTGGAGTGACCGCCAGGCCCCCAGCACAGAGCTGAGCTCCAGCGGCAGCTCGCACTCCAAGTCCTGCGGCCAGCTCAGGTGCAGCCCCTACCTCAGCGGCGGGGACATCGCCGACGCGCTCAGCGTCCACTCGGCCGGCTCCTCCAGCTCCGACGTGGAGATCGCCATGAGCTTTGTCCCAGAGTCCCCCGGCGGCCAGGAAAAGAAGTTCTGGGAGTCCGCCTCCCAGTCGTCCCCGGAAATCTCCGGCATCAGCTAGGCATCCAGCAGCGCCTCCTCCTCCTCGGCCTCCACCATGCCCATGGCCAGCGCCCGCACCCACAAGCGCTCCGTCTCGGGGGTCAGCAGCTACAGCGCCTCGCTGCCGCTCTACAACCAGCAGGTGGGCGACTGCTGCATCATCCGGGTCAGCCTGGACGTGGACAACGGCAACATGTACACGAGCGTCCTGGTGACCAGCCAGGACAAGGCTCCGCCTGTCACCGGCAAGGCCATGGACAAGCGCCACCTGGAGGAGAAGCAGCCGGAGCAGTATGAGCTGGTGCAGGTCATTTCGGACGAGAGAAAGCTGAAGATCCCGGACAACGCCAACGTGTTCTACGCCATGAACTCTGCCACCAACGATGACTTTGTCCTGAAGAAACCGGCCTTCACCAAGGGGGCCAAGGTCCGGCATGGTGCCAGCTCCACTCTCCCCCGCAGGAAGCAGAAGGGACTCAGGTTTGCCAAGGGCATCTTCTAGCTGGTCCCTGGCACTGCCCAGCCACAGGGCTGCCCCGCCAGGCTCCGGCAAGTTGGGCAAGCAAGCACTTACCGACGACAGTGGCCCAGGCCAGGCGGGCACCTTCTGCCCAGCCTGCCACCGGGCCGCCCGCCCCGACTCCAGTTTCTCCCTAGACCTCCTGCTGCTGGGATTGACACCTGCCCATCAGCAGGCTGACCTGGCCTCCGGGGACCACTCGCCGCCTTAGGTGCCTTTTGCTCTCTGGAACCAGAGGAGTAGCCAACTTGGCCCAGGAGTGCTGCCATGGGCACAGAGCCCCACCACTGGGCACGCCCTCGCTACACCTCCCTTACACCTTCCCAGGTGTGGGTCACTGCCACCTGTGCCCACAGGCAGCCCAGGGCACCTGCTCATCCACTGGATCTGACCACTGTGGTTCTCTCCTTGCGCCCACGGACACAGGCCATGCCATTCATGGGGCCTGGCCCCTCCACCACTCGAGCCTTCCACAGGCTTCACCAAAGATCCACCGTCAGGCCACGGAGTGAGGGAGTCCCGCACGCGAGCCCGGCCCCCCTCGGAGAGGAGGGACCCTTCTCACCTGTGAGTAAGGACCAGCCCCACGAGTCCCCTGGCTCTGCAGCTTCTCGGGACCACACGGGCGGGCCAGAGGAAAGGAGGATTGGGGGGAAGGGAGGAGGGTGGATATTTGTATAAAAGGCAAAAATCATGTTTACCAGTTGGGGAGGGGCAATATTTATGTTGTAAATAGTAAATTCTAGACTTGGATATTATATTAAAAGCTCACTCAGCTCGCAGGCTCACTCAGGGCATTCTGGCCCATGTTCCAATGTGCATGACCCTTGAGGACACTATGCTAGGTGAAATAAAATAGTCTGAGGACGATAAACACTGTGTGATTCCACTTAAATGAAGCACTCGAATTGTAGAGATGGGACGTAGAAAGGCAGTTTCCAGGGGCTGGGAGGTGGAAATGGGGAGTTATTGTTTAGTGGGCACTAAAAAAAAAAAAAGTACATTCATCCAATCCACAAATTTGGACTCAGAAAACATACTATCTTTGGACCAATGGTGAGGAATTAGGGCAGTGGTTCTCAACCGTCTGGCCCTTTAAATACAGTTCCTCCTGTTGTGACCCAACCATAAAATTATTTTCGTTGCTACTTCATAGCTGTAATGTTGCTACTGTTAGGAATCGTAATGTAAATATCTGATATGCAGGATGGTCTTAGGCGACTCCTGTGAAAGGGTCGTTCAACCTCCAAAGGGGTCGCGACCCACAGGTTGAGAAACGCTGAATTAGGGTCATTGGGGAGCTTTGCTAGTACTTCCTTTTTTACTAAGATTAATTTAGATCACACTGTGGGTTTGGAATGACTGGATTCAATTATTCGCACTGAAGAATCAGTTATGCTCCCCAGCCTGCATGGCTTAGTGGTTGAGCATCAACCTATGAACCAGGAAGTCATGGTTTTATTCCCTATCTTGCCGTATGTGTGCGTTTCTCTCTCTCTCTCTCTCTCTCTCTCTCTCTCTCTGTCTCTCATCTCTCTCCTCCCTTCATCTCTGAAATCAATAAAAATATATATTTTTTAAAAAGAATCAGTTATGTCTTTCTTTATATTCGATGCTGAATATAAGGATTATGTGAAGATGAGATATCCTGGGGACACAAGGCTACAGAGGCTTGAGCCAATAAAATCCTCTGCCCCCAAGACCTGAGTGTTGTTATATCAAGTGAAAAGCAGAAAGCTCTTCTGGATTTGCGTGGCATGTCTATTAAATATGTTTTTATTGATTTTTTACTGAGAGAGGAAGAGAGAGGGATAGAGAGATTGAAACATTGATGAGAGAGAAACATCATCAATCAGATGCTTCCTGCATGCCTCCTACTGGGAATTGAGCCCAAAACCCTGGCATGAAAATCAAACTGGTGACCTCTTGGTTCGTGGATTGACGCTCAACCACTGAGCCACACCAGCCAGACTGTGGCATGTCTTCATTTCCTCAAGCGGTCCTCAGTTCCTGCTATAGTTTTATGCATTCTGTAATCTGAGTCAGGGGACACCCACCCCACTTCTCTAACTCATTTTTCTAACTCAGGAGACATGTGGTGTATCATTGCACCCTGAGCAGCCTCATATTCATGGGAGGGCTTCAAAAGTAATATTTGTAATACTTGGTGATGATTATAGTTAAGATTGAGTTTCAATTCTAGCAGGACTAACATTGGGAATCATATAAGGTTACATTTGAATATCATTTTAAGCCCCAAAACTAACATACCATCCTTCTCTCAGCTGGATGAGAGCAATCTAAATCATCAATAACCAGAGCCTAGGCCCAGTATATTTTCAAGACTGAAATAAAATCTCTGGTCCTTGTGTATGTGGGATATTCCCACATTGCTGGAGTTAGGGAAGGCTCTGCAATCATCAGTACTAAAAACATATTCCAAGATCCACTTCCATGAGTACAATCAGAAATTAATCCTATACACCAACCTCAGCTATCATTACTGTGTGAGAGAGATGGTCTGCCCTTCCCCCATGGCCACTCTTATGATGCCTGCCTTTCAAAAGCCTGTAGCTTAGTTGAAAATTACATCTCACATTTATTGACTATCTGCCCAGAGCACATGCCAAGCATCATGCCTGGGTTATTTCATTTATCTTCATTTATCACACACCATGAGAGAGATAGTATTATCCATTTTTTCAGATGATGACACTCAGGCTCACTGTAAGTAACAAGCCCAAGTCCACACAGCTATAAATCACATGCAGAAAGGCACATGAGAGTTAGACAGTGGAACAGAGGAGAAAGCTACCAGTGCTGGTTGGGATGTGCCAGAAGGTTTAAGAACAGGGCTCATGTGTGAACTGGAGCTTGAAGTGGTTATTTGTATAACAAGAGAAGTAGACTATTTACCATCTAGCCAAAGAATTAAAATTTACCCCAACTTTTGTTCATTCAGATGCATTTCTTTATCAAGTATATATTGATACTAGAAGCCCAGTGCAAGAAATTCATGCACGCGGAGGTGGGAGGGGTCCCTCAGCTCGGCCTGCACTCTCTCACAGTCCAGAAGCCCTCGGAGGTGGGAGGGGTCCCTCAGCTCGGCCTGCACTCTCTCACAGTCCAGGAGCCCTCAAGGATGTCTGACTGATGGCTTAGGCCTGCACCCCACAGTCAGACATCCTTAGCACTGCCCACAGAAGTGGGAGAGTCTCTTGTCACTGCCACTGCACTGGCCAGCTGTAAGCCCAGCTTCTGGCTGAGCAGCACTCCCCCTGTGGGTGCGCACTGACCACCAGGAGGCAGCTCCTGCATTAAGCCTATGCTCCAGGTGGTCAGTGCACATCATAGCGACTAGTCATTCCACCATTTGGTCAATTTTCATTTTAGCCTTTTATTATATAGGATTGACTATGTGCCAAACACTCTGCATTGGAGTCTAGTTTATATATCAACAGTCTAAAATACTACCCTCATAATACTTACATTCTCTTAGGTGGATGGAGTGAGACAGTGTGCAAACAAATAAACACATAGCACATCAGCTTGTGATAAGTCCTATAAGGACCAATATAGATGGCTGATGGGAACAAGGAGATGGGGGCAGCAGGATGGCCATGTTTGATATGGTTGTCAGGGGGAAAAGCCACAGAGACTTGACAGTCTGCAGGAGGGAGCCATTGGTAGATCTGGGGAAAGAACATTTCTCAGGAAGATGATGGCTTTCCCAGGAGGCCTTGAGGTTGACAGGAGAATGGTTATAGGCAGAAGGTGAAGTCAGAACAGGAGATGGGACCAAGTATTTCAATGAGAGCTGTTTCATCATGAGAACAACGTAAATGGAACTTTGGGTGTGTCTGAGCAGAGGAATTACATTCTCTGGATGTCTCATAAGTGAGTGATGACGCCAGTATTACAACTTTGGGTCTAAAAAGATTAGAAGATATAACTCCTACTAGATGCATTCAGGCAGTCTCCCCGCAATGGATCACTGAATCCTGATCAGCATCTTATTATTAAAACAAATCTGGCAGTCCAGGGTGGCTGATAAGAAGTTTCCTTAGATTTACTACAAAGAACTCACATAGCAGTCATGAATAGTCGCATAGTTCTATCCCGAGTTCCAGAACTGGGTTGAAAACAAAGGAGAACTAAGTGAATCCAGCAGCTGCAGTTATTTGTCTACAGTAGGAGGGCCTCACATAGAGCTGCACCTCTATTAAGATCAGATGGCATGGTGTCTAGGTACTCTACATCACCAGCAGGTTTCCAGCTCAATATCAACCTTGCATCTTGTACAAAGATGGTGAGGATCATGCTGCTAGGTAAGAATTGTTCTCACTAGACCCGTTTGCAGAGCTCAAGCCCCATTTCTGTAAACCACATTTCAAGATCTCTGATCAGTGCCTCCCACCTGACATTTGTACTTACATTGCAGGCGGCCATTATCTTCTCCCAGATGAATCTGTATTTTTGTTCCAGCTTCCCCGTTTCTAAAATCAACATTGTCATTATCCAATCTTCCAAGACTAGACAATTTGATAACACCTTCAACCACTCACTCTTCTTCAGATTCATTATCTAATGCAAAAAGAAAAAAGAAATTCAGTCAGCTCTTCCTTTTAAAATGTTTTGCTAGTCCCTCTGTTCCTACTTCATTCAAGTGTTTGTCTGTTTATATTTGAGTACCAAGAAAATATCTCGTCACTCTTCTAACAAAGTCTAGTCTTCCTGAATTCTAATCCATCTTATACGCTGCTGCTGGACCCAGTGTGGGAGTGCTTTGTGCTGTGGTATTCCCTTAATCAAGAAAACACAATAGCTCACTATTAAATCAAATTCTATTGTCTAGATTTCGAGATCCTCCCAGGCTTAACAGTCCCTAGTACTGTCAAAGAAACCCAGAGCTGGACAGTCATTAAAGCAAGTGCCCATCATAGACACATGTATAAAGAAGACTGGTACATGTATAAATGGAATATTACCTGGCCATAAAAAATGAAATCTTACCATTTGTATGACATGGATGAACCCAGTATTATGGTATTATGCCAAGTGAAGCAAGTCAGTCAAAGAAAAACAAGTACCATGTGATTTCACTTATGAGTGGATTTCAAAGAACAAAATAAATGAATAAACAAAATTGAAACAGACTCATAGATACAGAGAACAGACCGATGGTTGCAAGAGTGGAAGGTGGTGAAAAATATGAAGGGACTAAGAAGTGC